CTACTATGTACTACTACATCCTACTACTCACTACTACTTACTACTACTTCTAACTACTACTTACTACTACTACTACTACTACTACTACTACTACCACTACCACTACTACCACTACTACCACTACTACTGCTACCACTCCTACTACTGCTCCTACTACTGCTCCTACTACTACTACTACTACTACTAGTACTACTTACTACTACTAGTACTACTTACTACTACTACTACTACTACTACTACTACTACTACTTCTTCGCTGTGAATATCCTTTTCATGCTGATGTTTTAAGTTTTTTGATCCCTCACACTCCCCAACCTACTAGCGATGGCCTCCAGCCTACCTAGAAGAAATGACAGGCGAAGCGATCTTAGCCTTTTCATGTGTTCTTAGATTGGAATTCGGATGCTGGGAATCCTTCTGTAGGCCATTCCTGCGAATGGTTCGATGCAAGTTTAGAAACCGAACACAGCACTTTACAAAGGAGGGGTATTATTTTTGGATGTGTTCGTTTTTTATTGTAGCTTTTGTTTTTTGCTCTTGCTTTGCCTGCTTTTCTGTGCGGGCATCAGGATCCAAAAAAGAACAGGACCAACACAAAAAATAGGATCAGTTTAAAAAAACAGGAAACGAAGCAGCCCACGCTGTCTATACTTAATTTGCATTGCGAGGGAGGCGCTGCGCCCTCCCCCGCACCCCCTCCAGCTTTATAGCAGTTACCACTACCCCTGCTATTACCAGCACCCCACTACCAGTCTTACCACAGTTACCACAACAGAAGCAACTACTATCTTCTTCCTTCACTTAGTAGAAGCGCTGTGCCCTACCCCTACTACTCTTACTGCTTACTACTTGCTACTTACTACTACTTAAAACTACTAACTACTGACTACTACTACTACTACTACTACTACTACTACTCCTACTCCTACTGCTACTACTACTACTATTACTGACTACTACTACTACTGCTACTACTACTACTTCTACTACTACTACTACTACTCCTCCTCCTGCTGCTGCTGCTGCTAACTACTTACTAGTTACTACTTACTACTTACTTACTACTTACTTGCTACTACTACTATTATTACTACTACTACTACTGCTGCACTACTTTGTTTCTACTACTACTACTACTACTACTACACTACTTTATTTCTACTACTACTAATACTACTACGACTACTGCACTACTATATTTCTACGACGACTACTACTGCTACTACTACTACTGCTACTGCTGCTACTGCTACTGCTACTGCTACCACCACCACCACCACCACCACTACCCAGTTGCCACTCCTCGTCCTACATTTGTGCAACCCCGCAAAGGTGAATGCTAGGGGCCACCAGGCAATTGCTGGCAAGAGTGAATGCGACTAACCAATAGCATAATCCGTGCATCTCCACCTACAATGTGGACACACTCTGGAAGATGCCAGTCCAAGGCAGCATCCCTTTTGTGGGCCACTGGGCGGTTAAATCACGAAAGGTAGCTTGAGCTACCTGAGTTCTCCTTGCTTTAGCAAAAATGTATTACAATCAGGAGTTGGGATTGTGCATTGAATTTGGTCCTGTAAGAGTTGATTCTGTTCGTCGGGGGGGGGGGGGGGCCCCCCTCCCCCTGGATCAAATCCCCCCTGCGCCGGTTCACGCCGTCGTGGACTTCTACCAGGGTTACTTGTGATTGCCTGCTACCTTTCGTTCACCCCCTCCTCTCTCAAGTTTAGAGTAAGAAGAAACCATTGCAACGTACCATCGCTTTTGTGGCAACCCGAGGGTAAAAGAATTAAACAACCAGTGGAGTATGAAAGTTAAACAACTGCAGAAACACAAAAAACATCAAAAAGAATAACAGATCCAAAACTACTTCCGGGACCCTTTACAAACTCCAACTTGCGCTGAGTTGGTTCCATGAGCAGCAGCTGCAGATGCAATCGGTTCCTTCCGGTGAAGGGCCATTGTGCATATCTTGCATGGCATATGTCATACATGGAATTCATAAATTCCCCTGAAGGGGTCCAAAGAACTGTTTTTTGGGGTCAGCTCTTGCATGATTGTTTGGTGGGAGTAGCTCTTCATTTCGGTCTTGTGCGCAGGTGAGAGGAATAAACCCACCCGAAATGAAGCCGCAAGACTTGGGTCAATGCAGCGCCTGCCAGCGGAGCTTCAAGGTGCCGCTACTGTTTGCCAAGAGCCGACAAGGGGTGGAGGGCATTGAGAATGATTCCCAGTATGCCCGTGTCAACACCCCTGGCGCTGAGGTTGCCAGAAAAGTATTTAGTCTTTCGGTTTGGAGCCCTGAGTTTTGAGGGAAGTCTACCCGAGGAAGAATGAGAGGTTTGAATACAAAAAGTTGCGGTATCATCAGATACTTCCTACCAAAGAGCCTGGCACACATTTTGGCGTTGGTTCCAGTCACTTTCCTGGCTTTGGCCATCCAATTGGCAGGCCGGACAGCAGATCTATGAGAGTCCGGAGGATAAAAGGACTCTGTGCAACTTGACAGAAACTGCTATGACGTTTGGTTGGAGAGCCCCCCTCCAGGCTGCAGTGAAAATTGCAAGGATTTTTGCGAACCGGTGAACCATGTGTGGAACGAACGACACTGACCTAAAGGTATCTCCACACATGTGCCGTCAGTGCATGAACAAAATGTAAGACAGCAGGAAATCTGCAGCATGCACAAGCAAAATCCTATCGACAAAATGGCTTGGAAGAACCGTTCACAACAGGTATTTCCGTGTTTTCGTCATACCCCGGCACTGCTTTGACTTAGCCAGGTTAGTTTGACACGTTCGGCGTAGCCTGACATGTTGGCCAGGTTTATCTATATCTCTCTCACTCAGTTTTGTAGGGGGGATGTGTTCGGCGTTTGAGGCGAGGCGTGCTATTTGTCGGCCGCGCCCAAGTGCGCCGCCTGTTTGATGCCTGTCGTGGGCACTGTGGCACGGGTGGGTGAGAGCGCATATCATCCTGAGTGCTTGGTATGCAGTGGCTGCCGCTTGATTTGCCGAAGCAATTTTGCTTTTGGACAAGTTTTTTCCCCCCCGTCCCCTGAAAGCCGACCGTTGGCTCTCTCACAAGCAAGGTTACAAATCGGTGTACAGTGAGTGGGAGGTAGCCCCTAGGCTAGGTTGAAACTCTGTTTCTAGTAGCTTCTTGTTCCTAGTAGCGATGCCAGGAGCTACTAGTAGCTTCTTGTTCCTAGTAGCGATGCCAGCAGCTACTAGTTACTAGTAGCTTCTTGTTCCTAGTAGCGATGTCAGGAGCTACTAGTAGCTTCTTGTTCCTAGTAGCGATGCCAG